TTTGTGTGAACCATAAGTGTTTCTTTTGTTTTCTAAGCGCATATTCATCGTCACGTATCATTTTGATTTTAGCGCTTGATTTAGGTTGATTCAATGCACAATTTATTTCGATGCGATTTCGAAGCAAAACCAAATGTGGGTAGAATAATGGCTGACGATTTTAAACAGCACAACTTTTATTGTCTCGATTACATATTATACAATCGTGAAGCGATGAAAATCTATCTCCGAGTTGCGATTCCACAATAAATAAGCAGGCGAAAGAACGAGAACAATGTCTTCAGATCACATTTGGTAGGCGATGTATTCAAATCGAGTTTTTTTTCTCGTTAAAACTGGTGACATTTTAGAAGAGAAACAAAATTCTCAATATACACATAGTGTGTGTCCAAAAATGTGCGGAAGAAATATGCAAACACTTTTTCTATCCATTTTTTTTTCTCTTCTCCTACATAGATGATGGTCTATAGATAGAAAAGACACCTTTTAAAATATGTGATTTATTATCACTTAACATTTGCATCTTCTTTTTCATGTCAACTTCTATCGGCGATATTACGAGAGATGAAGAAGAAACGAATTCTGAGCGAAAAATCAAATAATTTCAGTAAGTTGAATTAAATGATATTTCAAAATGAATTAAATAATATTTACACAAATCACTCGCTCTCCCTGGCTGCTGTGCTATGCATGCGTAAAATTGTTGAGATCTTGTTAAAACAGTTCATGGCCTTATATTTTGTATTATTATTATTATTATCAATGCTCAAAGTTTTTTTTTGCTTCTGTTTCACCATTTTATTAATTAATTCTCCTCAATTTCATGTGAACTTAAACTATATTTCTTATTTTCTCTATCGCGTTCGTTTGGTGTCTATTTAATTACAGATTTTGATGCACACCGGAGAGCTCATCGAAAAAGCGAAAAATCTTTATAAGTCATAGCAGTAGCCATGTAGTTTAATGAAAAATTCATTGAGAAAAAATTAATTAACGTTGTGGCTTGCGTTCGGCACTCTCGTGAATAGATTTTATCAGAGCCCGATCATGGTATAGGATTTCCTATATAAAACTTGTAACTAACAACACCTCTAATGCGTATTCCGAGTACTAATTGACGTTTGTGACAATATGGCCGTCACGGTTTGGCAAAATCATAATGAATCGATTAAACTGCGTTAAACTGTTAAAATAAAACAGTAGAAATAAATAGATTTTAATTTTTTACATTATTCATTATGATTTTGCTAAACTGTGACGGCCATATTGTCACAAACTTCGATTAGTACTCGGAATACGCATTAGAGGTGTTGTTAGTTACGGGCATGAAAGATCTCTAATACAGTAGCTTTTTTATATCAAATCTGTCACACTAACGCCCTCACTCTATCTTTTGGCGAACTAAACAGAATAAAGTTTAATATAAAAGTAAAGTCTCCATCAGGATATTTTATACAGCCGGTGTCAAGATCAATAAAACTGTTAATGTTAAGCTGTGATTGCCAGATTAAGAATATAAATAAAATAAATGAACGGAATAAACGAACTTAACAGAACAGAATAATTCGCACGAGTGTATGACAAGTATGTAAGAGAACAATAACATTACGTTTTGTATCTATCTGTCAAATGTCACACTCACACTTATGAGTTTACGTATGGAGATTTTAACAAAATCATTTCTACAAGATCTACACACTCTACACCCGAGGCTTTTTAAGTTAAATTAAAACGCATATAAATTTATGTTTTTTTTTTTAAATAGAAATTATCTAATGCTAATTGTGCTAACTTCACTTTCAAAACAAAAAAATGAAACAATTTATTAAATTATTTTTCAAGAATTTTTGGAATAACATATGCGCTCATTCTCAAACTTGTGAAATAATATCCCATTCTATATATAGATGGCACTGTCTATACGAAGTTCGGCAAACAAAGCATTACGCTTATTGAGCGCATTACACCTCTTGGGCATGATCAGGCTTCGGATTTTATGTAAATAATTAGATGAAAATAACGTTGATGAACCCGAAATAAAATGGATAACTAATGATAATTAATTGAAGTACGAATTGACGCCAAAAATTTGAATTTTTATTTGTAATCAGATGAAATTCATCATATAGATTTGGATCGTCGGTGGCAAGAAATGAACCGTTAGAAAATATGGTGGGACTGATATAGAGAGAGAGTGGGGGTGGAAGGAGATAGAACGAACAAGAGTGCATATAATAAAAGATAAAAGTCATGCAATCACATTATTCGGCGAGTGGCGCGTGCTCCTCGCATGGCACTCATTCAATGTATACGCTTCCAATGCCAATTTATTTTTATCGTCTAATTGATTCTGGCTAACGGAATAACGAGAACAAACGAAAGTATAGTTTGAACATGCACATCGCAGTTTATCAGCGCTTTTTCACAATTCACCAATTCAGTTTGACGCTAAGAATAATCTTGCATTTTCATGATTCCGATGAAAAATGCCCTATTCTTCTTCTTCTTCTCATGCAGTTCCGTGAAATTTGCAAAACTGTATTAATGGAATCACGAAGACTTTCAAATGTCCAGAACTTGGTGCTGATTCACGGATGTGCAGTTTTGTCTTTTTAAAACAAAAAAAAAACGCCCTGAGTGGAAAATAGAAAGGGCAAGAGAAAACGAGACGATTCCAAGAAATAAAAAAAATTGGAAGAATTCGAAAGCCATATTATTTCGATTGTCATTGTTGTTTGAGAATGAATGTGTGATGATTGCACAAAGCACCGTTACTCATTGTGTACATTATTTTTGTGTCGTTTTTAATCATATCATGTAATAGTTGGACGAATTGAAGCAAGTAGGGGAAAAAACAAACAAACAAATAAGAGTTGAAAAAGTATATTAAAAACATTGGTATAAGTTACGTGAAACACTTAGTGTAAAATTGTCCCAGTGACACGATATTTCGAAATTGTATACAGTTTGCTTTCATCGTTGTCGTCGTCAATAATATCGCAAGTCCACATCAGCGTCGCGATGCGCACCAATCTACGAGTGTGATGATGTCGTGCAGTTGATTGATGTCAAATTGATCGCAAAATCCATGCCACGTAATGTATATGCATTTGAAATGCATATGCACACATTAAACCGGTGTAACGATGGCATTGGCACTCGTTCCGGCTCAATACGCATTGATGCTCTCTGCTTTTCCAAATTCTCTGTGTTTGTCATGGTCTCATTTACAGCTAATCAGGCTATCATCGTCTGTTTGCACTTAATTTTCTACGATGAAATGTAATCCATTTTGAATTTTTTGCACATTTTCAGTGTATTTTTATGCTAATTTGTCATTGAAATAATTAGCAATCATGTTAGATGATTACTGTCTGCGAAAAATTGCATAACATTTTCGTGTAATGTTAATTAGAATGAAACGAAGAGAAGGCAAAAGAGATGACAAGAGAAAAATTAGTTGAAAGGGAACTACTATTCGGAACTTTTATTTTTCTAAACTTCATTCAGAAAAGGAAAAAAAAAAACCGAATTCGAATTTAAATTTGGAAGAGAACGAGTCTCTCGCAAACATAAACACACACATAAGCATGAACAACGAGTGACTGGCGACATCATAGACACAAAACTAGATCATTTAAGTGGTAATTAGAATACGATTGGCGGTTCTTCGTTTTGCCAAAATGTCATCGACTCTGCCAAACATTTATTAAGTAGAAAATTATGTAGATGAATAGCGCAGAATGCGACACAACAAGAATGTTGAACTTGTGTGACAGTCTGAATGTATAATGTATCGTTGAACGGTAGAAATACGGCACGTAGAAATAATAGAAGAGAGGAAGACCAAAAAAGCGTGGAAGAAAACCACAACCATATGTACGACAGGCGCGCATCGAAAACGAATGGTGAATAGAGAGCGGCTTGGTATCCGAGTCGAATCGAAGAACACAAAACCCAATTTCAAATAGTAATGTCAATCTTTCGGTCTCACTGTGTGTATGTCATTATGTGATTCTTGTACTTTACAATTGCTTTTGATATATATTTACAAGTTTTATTGCAAATTTAAACGTTTCGCTACTGAATATATGCTACTGCTTTTCTGTCCGTCTTCTGTGCAATCGAATTCGCGTGTCTAACTGCCAATGTGTCTCGGTTTTGTAGATAATGTTGTAATCTTCAATTTAAAAAAAAAACATCCGAAAAAAATAACCAGACTCACGGCAACAACCGCGAAATCCACGTGAATTGACATATAAACTGAACTTTTTTTGGTGCATTAAGTGGATCATTTGTGATGTTGTTGTTGTTGTTTTTGCTGTAACCTGCTCTTGTCAATGTTATTACGTTGCAGTGTAAGACTTTTCTGTTGTTGTTTCACGTCTATTTTAACTTGACTAATAAATATACTATAATATAATAAAATATGGCACCGTTATGATTCATATATTACAAAGATTATGCTTGATGTTATGCGCTCGATGACAAGATATTGAGTTATTAAATCATGTTTTTTGTTCACTCTTCAACTTGTAAGTTGTATTAACAATTTGCTTGAAAAATGACAGTTTTTCGGGGCAATTTTTTCTCGTCAATCTTCCACATGCCTTATTAACTTGTTTTTTTTTTCGTTTTTTTACTCGATTTAATACGATTAACTTGTACGGAATGTAATAATACTGACAATTTTGTCGTAGAGTAAAAAATTGAAACATTTGTAGTTGCGTCGGTTTTTATTGATACTTGCGTGTGAATTTTCGTACTAATGATTCCTTTTCCTTACAAATATATTTTCTGTTCAAATCTATCATATAATTCATATCATGTATATCAATAAATGAATGAATCACTGATGGTCTAAGGACAAAAGGTGCAAACGATACCAAATAATGGGAATGCACATCTTTTCTGTTAATATCACCTAATCGATTGAATGATCAGGAACACCACAAAGAGGAAAATAGAAACAAAATAACAATGAATTGTTCAATACTTACATAGGACATCACAGCCGCCGTTGTATTTACATCAAGTTTTCCCTTGATCTTTTTCACCATATTACTATATTTTAAACGTTTGCTTCCGTAATATTGCTGCCAAATGCTGGGCTTATTCCGATGCCATTCCAACATTATATCTTTGTCATCGTTGGACGCATCTTTTGCATTGTCAACGGTAATTAATGATGGCTGTTGCATTGCCAGATTACTTTCAATATGACCGTTTATTGTTGACGGTACTGGTGGTTGTGATGTTATTGTAGCCACCGTATCCGATTCGATTGATGTATTCAAATCGGACGTCTCATTCGACGACGATAATGGTGTTATAATGCGTGCCGTTGTATCGCAATTCGATGTACTCAACAGTGTTTCAACTTCGATTGGAATGATAACATCGTTTCCGATGCTATTATCACTGGAATTGAATGTAAATTTATTTGGACAATACCATGAAATCGATTTGATGAAAATGGCATGGGAAATTTGAAAATGACATTTTTGAAAATTTATGGAATTTCTTACCTATGTGCACTATTGCTACTGCCGCGTCCACTGCTGCTCGTTGTTAAAATTTGTTGACCTTCATCCCAACTAGAACAAATCGAATCCGAATGACGTCGTTGTAATTGAAAATTACTATCGCTGCTACTACTACATCGAATCGACTCATTTTCCAAATGATTTAGTAGGATTTTTGATTGATTTTTCAACGTGCGCATTTGATTTTTGTTACCCTCTGAAAGAATTTTTTCTTTGTCAAAATTACTTGATAGCGTTTTTCGCTTTTAAATTGAATGATTTGGCTATGAAAAGGTGTGTTTTTTTTTTTAAATAAAAATGACTTACGATTGCGTTTCATCTGGTTTTTCAATCTTCGCCGTCGTCGAACTAATGCTTGATGATTCTGATGTTGTTGACTGCTGCTACTGTTGCTATACACTTCCGAGCCAATATCAGATGTTGATAGTTTTGGTCGTCGTGTTCGATTATTCAATGCATGTTGCATTGTCAATAGTTTATAATTTTTTGACAGTCCCGAGCAAAATGCTCTGATTTCAAATTCGTTTTGTTGATTCATCATAACCAAATAATTGTCAACGTCATGCTTCAATTCGGTAATGTTGCGTAAAAGTGAAATGGTTTTCGAATTATTACTGATTTTTGATGAGCCAATGCCATCCGATTCGGTTGAACTGTCGTGTTCCGATTCATCGCTGGTTGGTTTCAAGAGTACGGTCAATTTATCGCGAATTTCCTCTAAAATCTCTTTGGTGTTTTGATGATTCAATTGATCTTCAATGTTTCTCATGTAAAATGGCAGCAATTTTTTATTGTTTAGAAATGGAAAATGAACGGATGCTGATTGTTCGTATTTGTAATCAATAATTTCGTCAACATTATATGCATCGTCCGGGCACGAATTGATATATTTCGTACATTTATAATTGTTTTCGTCACTATTTCGGGTGACCGATTTGTGATTGTTGTTGTCACCATTGTCGTCGTTATCGGTGTGTTCGTGACCATCATCATCGTCATCTTGGCCGCTGTCATTGTGATCGGTGTTAATTTCATGTTCGGTGTTCGATTGTTGAAATGTTGGTTTTTTTTCATTACTATCGACACCGCAAATTGCATTAAAATTCGATTTTTTCATTGTATCACGTGCCGTTTCATCGATCAATAGAAATGTATCCAAATCCAAATCCATGAGCGAATCATCAGTTGTATTTGCATTCCAATTATTGTGTTGTCGTTGTGCTTCAATATCGCCATTTCGTCGATACGGCACCAATGCTAGTGCATTATTATCCATGCCCTCAACAATGGTTGGCAAACGTTTCGTTTGCTCGTCACCATTTGATTTTGTTGTCAGTTCTTGACATTGCTCGGATGCTTTGCTTCGCTGCTGTTGCTGCTGTTGCTGTTGCTGGTGGTGATGATGATGATGTTTGAATTTATCTTTTTTATTTGGCTTATTCAAACATTTCAAATGTTTTTCCAATGTTTTAATGCTTTTCTCCAAGTTTGCCAAACCGATTTGTTGATCAAGTTTTTGATCAAATTTACGACGTCGATTGCTATCGTTGATGCCATCAATAACGGGTTCACTGTAGATGTGATCCTCTACCGAACTTGTTGAATATACATTTGAACTATAATAACCAGACGAGCCACTTTTTTCGGTCGAATAATGTGATGACGGCACTTGCTCTTGTTCACCATACGAACGGCGGCGATCCAAACTGGCATTTGAACCATTTAGTTTACTGTTTATAACATTTTTTCGATGATTTCCACTACTGGCTGTCGGTGAGGCAGAACTGAAATAAACAAAAAAACAAACAACATACAAACAAATGGTCACAACACCACAAAAAAAAGAAACATTTAAATTTAATAAAGTGCAAACAATACACTAATCTCAATGTATATTTGTTTTCTTATCGCACGCAAAATCTTGAAAAGAAAGTCAATTGTATTTCATTTTTCTATGCCATTGAAATTTTATGAAAAATGTGCGCGCCACACTGACCGCAAACACGTCGCGAACTAATTTAAATGTGACACATTTCCATTTGTAGCTCTCGTATGGACCAATTTACGTAACTGATCGTAAAAATATTGAGTTCAAAAAAAAAAAAAAAACATTCAGTCAGAGTCAATCATAGACATCCAATGAAATTCATATGTCTTGTTTCAATCTCTCGTGCACTTGTGTTTGCAACAGTTTTTTTATTATCTTTATAATTCATGGCGCAAGTCACAGCACCCATACTCAATATAAACAATATTGACGAAGTCAACCGAATGAAATAAAATCAAAGCGAAACTTTTGCAGTTGGAAAAAAAATCCCCATCGACTATTTGAGTTCGTCGCTTGTATGTCTTTTATTTATTTTGTTGCTGATTACAATTCATGTCTTTTAAATCATCGGCACAAGTTCGTTGTATTCGAATTGCACATTTTAATTGAAAGTTTAGTAATCATGGTGTCGATTCAAGGTTATCAATGATTTAAAAAAGAAAGAAAAAAAACGAAGCGCGTTCGCTTTCTGTGGAGAATTGAAGTAATTAAACTATACATTCAATAAATTCGACAACCAGCCAAACTGAAACGAAAATGATGGATTTTTTCTGTCAATTAGGGTGGCCCTCAAATATTGCAGATACATTTCTTTTGATTTAATCTTGATTTGAACATGTCTTTTTGGTATATGTGTTTACAAAATTTACGTTCTCAATTATTTTTCCGATGGTTTACTGTTACCCTAACCATTGACAAAAATAAATATTGAGTCACGTGTGATGTAGAACAAACCGGTGCTCAATGGACATACAAAAAAAGACTAAAGAAAATCAATCCGAATTGAACTGGTATTAACGGAATAATGAAAGTGAAATTGAGTGATTTACAATGAGCATAAAATGATGCCAATGTGTGCGCGCAACAAGTGCAATTTTAAATAAGCGCGCAAAAGTGATCAATGCGGTATGCTGTTTATTTTCAATATAATATTTAAAATTCTTGTTTGCAAGCGGTACCTTGTGTGTGTGCACGAACAAGAATTGTAACCCTTGGTTTTGCTCTCATTACCTCATTTCCCAGATGAGAGCGTTGCATATGATATACTTGTGTTTCTCTGTTTTTTTGTTCATAAATATATTTGCTACTGTTTATCAAATAAAAAAATCACATTCAAATAGTTTCATACTTTTATGAAGAATACATAGAAGAACGATCATCATGAAATTGAAACAGCATAGTATATTATTTACTATACATGGATTTTACGAATGACGAGACCAAAAGAGAGAAAGAGATGAAATATACACTCTCTCACACAAATACACACAACACAAAAATAAATTAATAATGAGGCGAAAACTGTGGCAGAAAAATTCAAATCTCAACAAACAAAAATCCATTTGAAAATATAATCAATGCAAACTTTATGCAAAACATTCGCTTTTGCAAAGCACATCTTCAATTTATGTGCAAGAAAAAAAGAAAACCTCCCATCACAGTGGAAACGAGAGAGTAGAAGAGATGAAAAAAAATTCGACACCATCGTAACCGCTCTCCAATGTCATTTTTAACTAGAAGTTACAAACTTCAAGTTGGAACAGATGGCACACACTATAAAAACATGAAGAATCGATTTCAAATCAGAAATAAATAGTGAATAACGAATTGAATGTGTATACGAAGAACCGATGTCACGCCAATTGTTTATGACTTTTTATTTGGCACATTTGTTGTATTAATGATAATTGATTTGCGATCGATTGCATAACAGTTAACAAAAATGCATCACGACAGTTCCCAAACGTTTTTTTTTTTTTCGAAGAGATGAAAATCGGCTAATTGTTTTTCGCAGAAATTTGGACTCACTGCACCCGGCTTTAAATGAAATGTAAAATATACTGAAAAGTATAGTATATACAACCATAGTTTAGAACAACCATCGTTTTTGCAATCGATTTCAATGGCGATTCAATCCGCATTTGTGCCTGACATCATTTGATATTTAAATGTAAACAAGTATAACAATGTCTGATGAAATTGACGTGCCAACGACAACAAAATTTCAAACAAACCAATTTCAATGCAAATTTCAAATAATTGCACTATTTATCAAGTAGACAAAGGCGCACATCATCACGTAGCCACAATGATTTCACCATAAACAAGCATTTACAAAATCTTTTGTGCATTTTATGTGAGCGACGACGTGCATCACATTTTAGTCTCGTATGCTGCTTAAAGCTTGAGAGTCTCAGACAAACACACACACACACACACACACACAGAGAGAGAGAGAGAGAGAGAGAGAGAGAGAGAGAGATGTTACTGGTAGCCGAATGAAAAAGTTTCTTTGACAGAGAGGAACGAATGTGATTATCGTGTTTCTTGTTGGTGACGGCGTTGTCATTTTCACCCATCTTAGCGCGTTAGCCAAATGTGAGTTGAAAAAAAAGGTCAAAGCCATGTCGTCCGCACACAAATCAAAGACACACATTTAAAATTGCACGACACTTTCTTATACAACGTATTTCATTTCTCATACACGATTCTTCTTCGTTTTTAACAAAATATTACGCATTTTTTCGTTTTCTTTTATTTTAAACACAACGAAAAATGCCTAAACCATTGCGCGCAGCGTTTTGTTTTTAACGTAGATTATTCAATAAAATACGCAAGATGCAAATGAATTGGCAGCAAGCGAAAACGAAATTCACCGATCAATTTCAATAATGAATTTATGTGAAATACGCGCGCTCACGATCGCGCCTGACTACTGCTCACAAATCTCGTATCGATTTTCATCATCGATGTGGCTCATCTGGTCCAAAATGTTTTTTTTTTTTTTTTTTTGAATTTCGTATGTAAACAAAGGTCATCTGGATGGCGATTTGCAAGGTCGTTGTCAATAGTTGTTGTTGTGTGTGTGTCGATTTTTTTCTCTCTTTCATCAGTGTTTTGTTTTTGTTCTCATTTTTATATAGTATGAGCATACTGTTGTTGCTGTTGCCACCACCGCCACCAATACTGTCATCGCTGCTACATTTGTTATTGACAGTGTGCGGTTTCACTGAGTGAAAGAAGGAGGTAACATAATTATAAACTCAATCGAGTTATCTTTTCTATTTGGCCGTTGCTTTTTTTTTGCTTTGATGGTGGCAGACGGGCGAGCATGCGATAATGGAACTTAATTCGTTCACTAAATCGATTTTATAAATCACATATATTACTGATTCATGCATATGCGTAGTTGTTTTCTTATTAAATGAAAAATCGACGATCATTTTTATTCTTTGTTTTAGGTTCTTTTAATTCAGTGTATAGTATGCGTACAGAAAAAAACATCGTTGCTTCAAATGTGTGCTATTATGTATTTTCTACCTTTTTGTCACTTGGTAATTGTATCGTTACTTTCCTGATATTTTGCAAAACGGTTCAAAGTCATTTGCTTCGAAGCATAAAAGGTATGAATAAAAAAGATCGGACGAATTTAACGATTATGCATTTTGATGATGGAATTCAATCAATACGTTTTCTTCGAGACTATCGAGAGAGAGAGAGAGAAAAAAGAACATTGATGACTATTTAATTTTGTCTTATTTTACTTCGAACCATCGTCAACTTTTCTTTTTGCGTCATAATTGCCAAAAATAAATAAAAATTCTCAGCCACACAAATGAGTTAATTAATGAAATTAATGTTTCGGTACTTAATTGATTACTTCGATTGTCTCTTTTTCGCATTCTGTCTCGGTAACGTGCGTTTCAGCCAAAATAACAATTTTTTTTTTTGTTTTCAATCGTATGTGCAAAGCATTCGAAGAATATGTGCGCTTTTTCCACTTTAAATTGAAGGAGATGCGGTCAAATGTGTTCACCGCCCCATCATAATCAATCCACTGAATTTGTGTTACTCATTAATTTCTCAAAAAATGTGTCACTAGGAGATACCATTTTTTCCACTTTAATGTTAAGTTTTAAATTTGGATGTATGTTGTCATCCATTGAGAAACGTACAAGAAAAGGATTTTTTTTCTCGTTGGTAAATAAAAAGACATGCGCCGACTATGGAATGCACGAGTTTGGTGTAATGTCGCACACGAAAACAAATTGATTTGACATTGTTTATTTGATGAATTTATGGCACACACGCTGTTATCAATTCATTTGACACATAACACACGATTTGCGGGCGGTCAATGAATTAATCACAACAAATGACCCCCTCGGTCTCTCTCCGTAAATACGTAAATCTGTGTCTAAACGAGATTATTTCAATATTTATGGTGCATTACAATACGGATGTTGTTTGGTTCTCAGACAAAAACTTAATGCCCTCATTACAAACGAGGTAATAAAATAAATGTGCTTGCATTAGGCACATTCCGGGCGCCAAACTTTAATTGACCTTTATCATTTTTTTCGTGTTTGTTTTTTTCCATCTTTTAAAATTCAATATTTGTTGTGTATATCAAATGAAAAAATTCCACAAATATGGTCGTGCATATACATTCAAAATCAAACGAGCGAACTAACGATTGTGCACCGTTGTTCATCGATATTTTTCATGAAATGTTTTGGCATTTGTCAACCACGAATCGATAGAAAATACTTTGCATTTATTCCGGGGCACCGTGTATGTACAGTGCCGTCAGAAAATTTGAGACCAAACTCATTTTTTTCATACAATGACACATTTTGTATGAAAAATAATAATTTTTCACACTTGAAAGTGCAAACGTCAGATATTTCTTAGACGCGTAGATATTTTTTGGTAAAACTTCACTAGTTTACTCTCCGTAAATAGAACAATAAGTGTGCAATTATGAGTCTAGCTCTTTCTGAAATATATTAAATATTGCTCCAAAAAATCGTCAATTTGTATGAAATTGTATGACATTTTTTTGCTTGGTCTCAAACTTTCTGACGGCAATGTACTATAACACATACACGCATTGCCAATAATAATATTTAACTCGTTGATGCATTGCATTTAGTGCGAGCATAATTCATTGAATTTCGGCCAAATGTTAAACACAATAAAAACGCCCCGAGTTCAAATAGAGTTCGTCTGGTTGTTTTTTTTTTCTCACCGCATGTTTTTTTGCTGCATCGTGAAAATGCCAGTGAAAAATGTGCAATGTTTTTATTCTTTCAATCAGATTTCGCAATCAATGCATCTTTATGAACCGGTACATCTTTAGTCATCGAAGTGTCTTTCTGTGTTTGTACATTTTCGCATGCGCTTATTGATGAAAATATGCCATTTTCCATATTTAAAACATATGTCTATTTCCCGTTCTCGTATGTGACTTGAATATAAGTGCATTCAACAATTATTGATTTTACACATGTTCCATCGCAGTTTCATTGCGTTAGTTTCCCAAAAATGAATTCGAGGTGATGCATCGTTGACCATATTGGTTTTTTACCAGCACTCACATTGAACACACGTTCTCCGCGCTCAATTCAAAATAATAAATTTAATTATCTTTTTTTTTCTTGTATTTATTATCCATAGTTTAGGATGGTAAAAAAAGAGTTTGTAATAGGTCAATAGGTTTGTGTGCAAGCATACGTAACATACATGCACTTGTTGATTTGTATGCGACCCCAGCATCGTTTCTCAATCAATTTGTTTTTGCTTTTCTGTGTGATCACATGTATGCGAGAAATAGAAATGGCTTAGCCAACTTATATGCAAGAATCGATTATTTTCTTTGACGAAAAAATAAAAATAAATCAGAATGCGACACACCAATGACCTAAAAGTTGGTATGCAACATATTTGTTTAAACAAATTGACGAACCAATTGAACTATGACTTTTAAATGATTCAAGAATTTAGCGGTCAGTTCCAATAATTAAACAAATTGGCATATTCAAAATAACAAACTATCTTTTCAAATGAATGTGGTTTTAGGAAAAGATCTCAATGGACGTTGCGAGGCATATTGTTAAGTATACCGATAATCACCGATAAAATGTTTATGGTGAACGGTTGCCCTTTGCTCGCAATCTGTCGATCGAATTGTTTCCAATTGATTCCAATTGATTTTCGATAAAAGAATGAACATACCTTTGTCTTAAACTGACCCGCGGTAATGAGAATGTTTCACCGGTTTGTAGTCCATCGAGTGTGGATTTTATGTCTTTTGTTCGCTTAATGGTGGTGTTCGTTTGTGCTGTTGACGATGGCATCGTTGATGTGTTTATGGTTGCATTTCGACCATCAAGTGCATAGCTATCATCGGCCCGACACATGGTGGCATTTGCACTTAAGTTTATCTTATTGTTCACGCTAATTTTATCACTAGAATGGTGATTATTTGTCGATTTCTTTGCATTTATTGTCACAAATGGTATCTGCTTATTATCACTTGGTGGGGATGTATCATCACTGTTGCAGCTTTCCTTGCTGCTGTTTCTACATTCACTTCGATTTGATGTTGATGATACAATTGATGGTGGCAACGAAATCGCATTACAATTTTCGATCACGGCACAATTCTCAATGCTATTTTGTTTGCTATTGATAAACTTATGATGATTATTATGATCATCCAATTGTTGTGACAGTGATAGTTTATTTGTTAAATTACATTTATGTTTGCTACTGTTTTTATGATTATTTGATTTTAAATTAGTAAGCGTTTTATGTGATGAATGGGAAAAGTATGTAGTTAATTTTTTAAAAACAGCCGATATGTGAGCGTTCGAATCGTGATTGGTAACAACAATATCACTATGTGTATCATCAAATTTTGCTGGTATTGCGGTATTGGTTGTGGTTGGCGTTGTTATTGTCACTTCATCAAATGGTATTGATTCAAGTGCATCGAAATCAATGGCCGTTTGATTTTTATTGTTGCCGCTTGAATGATCCGATGATGAAATGGCACTTTTTGGTGCATTCAATCGATGCTGTCGATTATTTTTAGTCGATGTTGCCTTTGTTGTGGCTGCTGCTGCTCCAATGGAATTACTACTGTCAAAAGCATTTGGATTTGTAATGACCGTAGGTGAATTTCCTGAGTGGGTACGATGATTCATTTGGTTTGTCTTGGATACGGGTGTTATTTAATTTTGCGGTCGGTATGTTGATGATCTTGTTACAGCGGTTTTCGAAGCCACACACCAAGACGTGCAAATAACTATTTACGCCTTAAATGCCAATCAATTCTTTCTTTTAAATATAATTTCGATGTTATTGACTTTTGCAGTGCAAAGTGCTTGGATGTTCTGCACGTTTTCTTCAATTCAAAAACCTTCCTGTCTTTTTCGTCGTATTTTTCTCTTCTATTTTATTTATTCAAAATGTGTTATAGATCTTTTGGGTTTGATGTTGTGCATATGTTGTGCTCATGTTAAATCTGAAATTGGAAGAGAGGAAGAAAACGACCCATTAGAAATATTTATTTAAATTTTTCTTACTTTCGAATTACATGTGTACCATTTGTTTTGTGCAATGTATACACATCAAAATACATAAATTTGTAAAAAGAAACCAACGAATTTATTAGAAAACTATTATGATTTTCTCATTTTGGTGATATTTCCGTTGAGCTCGGTTTTTCGATTTGTTCGAATATTAAATTTCATATTCATTGCAATGCGCACACACTTGGAATCGCGAATACGATTACGGTAAGTTCGCGCAAACAATTTTGAGTGAGTGTTTCAGTTTGTTTCGTTTTTTTTTTTTTTAATTTCGCTCGACTTCGAAAGTGTTCAAGAGAGATTTAAAGGTTCATATAATCGGTATAGTTTTCTTGTGAAGATTCCAAATTGTGGCGAAAATGAAAATCATTTTGAACGAATGCGTTGAAATGCTTCGAAATCAATTTCCCAATTTTCTTATACAAAATCTCTCTCTCTCTCATACATCTCTTTCTATTTATAATGTAGTAATATATTTTGTTCATTCGCTCAATCATTTCGTCTGCCAAATATACGCACGTTTCGTTTTGTGTAGTTGTTGTTAGTACAATCCGAAACGAACTGCCGTATTGTTAAATAAATGAATATTTCGTTTTTGACCCAATTGATGTGTACTTAACTCTGTGCGCATCGTATAAACAAAATTCCAATTGCTTTCATTTTTCATGCCGAACTTTTCAACACATAGTCGAAGCAATTATTTTGTACGTTCGTACTTTTTCGATGCCAGTCTGCCAGCCTGTCTGCTCCCTCTCCACCCTCTTCATATTTTAATTAATGCACATTGTTTGTGCGAATCAATATTTTCTAACCTATACCGACCGCATCTTGCTGTCTCGAAATGTTCGTCATTTGATCGTATCAAATTGTTAAATGCGCACGCGCGAACAATACACAAAACAAAATATTTGAATACGCATCATCAAATGTATCATTTTTAAACAAGTTTTCAAAACAATAGAGAAAACCGATAGAGAGACATGGAACATCTTGAACTTTCTTTTTCAAAATATGCAATCGGTTGTGGGCACATTCATTTACCGAATGTTGTTCCACAGGCGAATTGCATCAAATTACCGCATATTACCGCACGTGCTTTGATGTGACCAGAGATAATGCAGTCGGGACTGAGGTGCGACATTTCTTTTTTGCAGTTTTTTACATAATATATTTTACGTATGGATGAGATATTTAAAATTGACGCAAAATGTAATGAAAAGATAATAAATGTGAAATATATGACTTCCGATTGAACTCACTCAATCGACAAGAATAGACAGAGAAACGACGTGTTTTTTTCTATGTCAAACGGTTGATGTTTTGTTTTAGATGAAAAAGTCGAGACAGTTGAAATAAAACACAAAAGAAATGAATGTGAGATGTCGATAGACTGCCTGACGGCCATCTATCGTGTCACCATTTTTTCTCATTTCACATATACACTTATAACATGTGACAAAACACATCATTTTGCGATCATGTTGTATATTTTTACTTGAATACCAAATTAATTGTTTGTAAACATGGACCAAACCAATGTGTTTTGGACAAAAAAAGACAGCGTATTGCTAATCAACCAGAAAAATTAAAGACCAAATGAATGAATGAAAAAAATGGCATAAAATACATCGGAGAGTCGAATAACAAACATAGGTGAGTGAAAAAAAAACCCACAACAGTCATTGTGAAATATATTAAAGAAGAAAAAATACACACAGATTAATGAACCAAAAAGCAGAAAACTGGAAATAAATCATAAAATCGGTCGTCAATTGAATGAATAGTGAAGCTTGTAAAAAAAGAAATCACAGTATTATTCACCATTTTTTCACTAATTTTTTTCTGCATACGTTCGAGTTCATATTTTTATTGCAATATTCATATGCGTACCTAAAAAGGTCTCAATAGCAGAACATACTCTCCGATTGCTTCTGTGTAATTTTCCCTTGCCGAATATGTCTTGTATGCTTGTGTTGTTTTTCAATTATCAATTTGACATGATCATGAATCATGACCTTTTTCATGTGGCTATTGTCGCCCTACAAGCACCACTTTCATATGTGACATTAATTCGCATGGATTATACTCATTTCAGAATTTTTTGTCATTCTCATTCACTTTTTCGGTTTCTTTAAAGAGTTCTTTTTTGAGTTTGTTTCTGAAAATCTATCGAAATCAGCGATCATTTCTCTCAAAAAAACGCGACAGACCTATCTACTGAATCTTTTGCAAATGTTGATGGATCAAAATTTCAAAACCATAAAGTTCAAGGAATCGCCCAGTGACTATGCTTTTGCGAAGCTGCTGAAATTCTGAGATTGGTTTCTCTTTCTCTCTCTCTCTCTATCTCTCTCTCTCACTCTCTCGTGTGACACGGACACTCCGAATGGAATTTTATGGAACAAAATTGATCGGCAATCGGTTTGTGTTGTTGTTGTCGTTTGCTACGGTACAAATACACATAATTTGACATCTACGATTCAACGTTCAATGTCAGTCAAAACTAGTAAAAGTGCATATTACTCATAAAAATCGAAATAAAAAGCAAAAACCAAATTTTCAACCGTCATTCGGTTCAATTCATCGCTACACACCAATTACTTCCCCTGATTTTTGCTGGGATTATATTGCGACCATTTAATTGATGTGTCATGGCTTATATCACTCAAATGCTCATAAAATATTTCTTCAGCAACTTTGTTTACAACGGAAAAAACAAAAAAAAAAACCATCAGCTTTTAGCCCAAGCGATCACTCATCTCGCTAAAACAAAGTTACACAGTTCATTTACGACCTGGGCCAACAACGCTAAGTACACGCGTAAACACACTGAAATATAGCCACACGATGTAATTTAATTCAGTGGTTAACTGTTTTGGGCGACATCACATAAAAATTCGATTGCATACAAATCGCACGGTTTCTACATGATCAGTGACAATAAATCATGTGTGCCATGCATGGAATTATGCACAAAAACATGCGATTGCGTACAAATTCCTTGTTTTTTTTTTTTAAATGATCGTATACCGATGATAGCAATTGAGGTCTTATTGTACATGGTTGATTAGAATTCATATCAAGATGAAATAAAAAAAAAGATCATGACAACCATTTAAGGCAGCACGTCAACCATTCTCCTTTCTCGATTAACCATCGAGGTTCTTTCCGATTTGATCCATTTCTGAGTTAAGAAAAAGTCAACAATTGACGGTTTTTCTTATATTTAATGAAACATTAATTGTTGCCATACTTCCAAGGGAAATATATCGAAACGTCGAGAGCCGAAAAAACGCAACCAACAATAAATTACAGTTTTCGTCCGCCATCAAGTATGAATGCATACTAAATAAATCAATGATATGGAATACAATTTGATCTCATCGCACACAACGTAAACAGTTGGCGTGCGTCACATTGAAAATGTAATAAGCTATCACAGAAGTAATTTGCATGTTTTTTGGCTCACAACATAAATTCCGGACAGGCAACGACAACGATTTCAATAAAGAGAAACAAATCGCAATAAATAAAGTACAAAATGAAATGTGGTGACAGCAATAGCACAATTATGGCACACAGCATTTATAAATCGACCAAAAGCCCATTGATCATAATATATACATGTATAAAAGGATGAAATTAAGATCATCGAGAGCGGACATAATAAGATGGATGGCAGGAGACATACGTGATGAGGAAGGAGAAAAATCTCCGCTTTCACTGATTATAACTCATTTGTTCATGGTATTTATTGCGCGATTCTGATACATTCAACCGTATTCACAGCATTGATTCACATTTTTTGCAAGTCATATTCGTAATATGTCAAATATGCATGTTTTTTTCCTCATTCTTTTGCCGATTTGGTGTGATACATAAATCGTATTGACTTCAATGTGTGTGTGTGTGTGTGTGTGTGTGTGTGTGTGTGTGTGTGTGTGTACAAGTTTTCGGTGCTTGAAAACATTTCACCATAGCACTGGCGTTTTGTCGTGGCCTGACATGATAGTTATAACTTCTTTCTCCATGTGGTCATACAGTATACCATTCGAAATCTTGCAAATTTTTTTTTTTGCAACAATTTTGCATTTTCCTTGAATCTCGAGCCATTTGCACACGTCGCTATAGATTTTGTGCAAATTTATTGTGGAGATCCATTTTCGACACGCTATTTGTTTCAATTCGCAAGCACATGAAAAAATGACCAAATTGCGCACCAACCAACAACATTCAATACAGTCAATCTCTTTATAGCTTGTAGATTTTTTTTCAGTATTATTATGAATAATAAAAATAATATATCGAACAATCAAACCAATATGTCATGCTCAATTCGAAATCCAAAAAATAGCTAAAGAATTCGAATGTATTTAAAAGTATGTGTCTGTGTGTGTGTACCGTTCAATTATACAATTGGCAGATTGATTGAAAGTGTATGTGTTGCCTTCAGATTTTGGTCAGATTTTCCTTGTTATTGTTGCTTTTGCTCAATGTTGCGGCGATTGTAATAGAGTTAAAAATGCGCGGCATAATGTTCGATTGGTATGATTCTTTTCTTCGATTTGAGAAGGTGCAATTGATAAAATCCATCGACATTTGAGTGCATAGACTTTGTGTTTCTTTGGGCGAATCGAGTATATTGGCCGAGGTGCTTTTGTGTGGATTTTGAACACATTTTCGAAACGATGCACACAATAGGAAAATATTTGCGGCACGTATACCAACCACCATAAATCACAAATCATAATAAAACGTTTTCTAAGAAAACAGATCGATGCCAACCAACCGACGAACGAAAAAAAAAACACGACCAACCTTAACAGAGAGCAAAAAGAAAAGGCTACAATTAATTTAATTAAATTGTTCGGTGAGATAGAGACAGAAAAAAGGCCAAGCCCTTTTGAGTATACTCTTTATTTATACGTGCGTT